GTTCTTCTGCTTCTTGTCCAGAGCAGCGCAGGCAGCATTGGATCGCTCCACATCAATCATCAGGTCCTCCACTTCATTCTGCAGCCTCTGCTTTGTCTTTTCCAGGGAGGCACACTTGGCATTGACAGCTTCGACGTGTTCCTCTGCATCCTGCAGGCGCTGTGCCAGCTTCTTCCTGGGAGGAGATAAGCACAGTGGCAGCTTAGAGCTTAGAAGAGAGTCAGTTCTGCACTGCCATGAGAGGGCAGTTGATCACTTTGGGGGTTTTGAGCTGAGCACTTTTCACAGATCCTAAAGGATCTGTCCTTTCTGTGTGCATTAGGCCTATCTTTGCACTTCTAGCCCTAAAGCCTATGCCTTCCCTTCCAATATACACTTTTTTTCTCCTCCCTTCTCTCCCCTTCACCACAAAGACAGTATACCCCTGCCTTCATCCTAACCCTATCTCAGCCCACTCAGAGACTCCCATTTCCCTTGACCGCTCTCAGTCTTCTGCAGTCATTTCTCATCCCACTCCCCATGTACTTGGCCTCCTCGAGCTCCTCCGTGCGCTGAATCGCGTCCGTCTCGTATTTGGTTCTCCACTGGGCCACTTCGCTGTTGGCCTTGGACAGGGCGCGCTGCAGCTCCCCCTTGGCTTCCTGCTCCTCCTCATATTGTTCCCGGAGCAAGTCACAGTCGTGGCGAGCGGACTGCAGGGCGTGGGCCAGGGCGTTCTTGGCCTTGGGGAAAAACATTGCAATAATGACTAAATGTATCCTGGGAAATTTTCTCTTGACACTGATATATATCCACAGAAATAGCAATTAAGTGGCTGCAAGATAAAAAGTTGAGAGTCCTGTGCTGATAGGCCCTAGATTGCATGACCTGGGGAGATGGTTTGAACTTTTAATTGGATCACCTTTTGAAGTATTGGGCATCTCATCAGAATTAATGTTATGTCAAAGATTTTATCTGTAACCTATATATCTTCACCTTTATTTCTTCTTCTAGTTGCCGCTTCAGTTCTTCAATCTGCTGGGTGAAAGCCTGTTTTCCTCTAGTCAGCTGAGAAATTAGAGCATCTTTTTCCTCCACCTGGCGTCCATATTCACCTGGAAAAGTTTGTAGTTGAGAAAACATTTTAATAGCCAAGAAAATAATTTATGGAGTTCTACCATTTCCAAATTAGAGGTGGAAGTGCTGTACCAGATTCTGTCTGTAGACGAGCTCTTTGAGCACTAAGATCGCTGATCATGCGCTGATTCTGCTCCTCCTTTGTTTTATATTCACTCAGCTGGTCTTCCAGGGTGCGGCACATCTTTTCCAGGTTTGCCTATGTATCAGTCACAAGAAAATATATATAAGAAAATATGTAAGTAAATATATATATTACATTTATATATCTCTCTATATATCTATATATAAGAAAATAGAGAAAATGTCTTGATCCTTCCTTCTTTACAGGAGGAAAATATATCCAGAAGATGCAGTTAACATGTCTGGGGACTCTGTGCATACACCCATAGTTCTGCACATTAGATTTGGAAAAATCACTTATAACCTGATACTAGTTAAAAAAATATAAAATTAAACAAAATCATCACATTGCTCCCAAATTCCTAATAAAAATATTTGTGTACCTTGGCTTTTGAGACAGACTCTATATTACTGGCTAAGTCATCAATCTCCATCTTGAGCTCGCTCTTCTCCTTCTCCAGCTTCTGCTTGACGCGCTGCAGGTTGTCGATCTGCTCCCCCAGCTCAGCTGTGCTGTCCGCGTGCTTCTTGCGCAGGGCGGCAGCCGTGGCTTCGTGCTGCAGCGTGGCCTCTTCGAGGTCCCGGCGCATCTTCTGGAATTCTGCCTCCCGCTTCTTGTTCATCTCCACCTGAGCTGCCGTCGCCCCTCCTGCTTCTTCCAGGCGCTCGCTGATCTCCTCCAGCTCCCTGGACAGGTCAGCCCGATGCTTCTCTGCTTTAGCGCGAGAGGTTCGCTCGGCCTCGATTTCCTCCTCCAGTTCCTCAATACGGGCCTGGAGAACACGAGGGACCCTTCACGCCCGTGCCCTCCTCCTCCCTGAGCCGAGCCTGGGGCAGGCAGGGGAAGGGCAGACACTTGCCTGCAGCTCCTTGATCTTCTTCTGTAGTTGCATGCCCAGAAGTTGTTCATCCTCGATTTTGCTCTGGATCTGGCTGATTTCAAAGTCTTTCCTTTGGGCAAAGCAAAGTGGGTTACAGCTCAAAGGAAAAAGACAAGAGCTGCAGCCCAGCACTGAGGTGCCCCAGGGCCACACTTACTTCTTCAGTTTCTCATCCAGCTGCTGCTTATCATTCTCCAGATCCATGATGCTGTCCTGGGCCAGCTTCAGGTCTCCTTCCAGTTTCCTCTTGGCTCTCTCCAGGTCCATGCGCAGTTTCTTCTCTTGCTCCAGGGACCCTTCCAGCTACACAGAACAAGGCCATCAGTGCTCCACCAGCCAGCTCAAACTCCATACCTGTCTGTTCCTGCTGTGTGTCCGTGGGCTTACATCGTCCACTTGCTGCTCCAGTTTGGTCTTGGCTTTGGTCAGTGTATTGACTTTGTCCTCCTCTGCCTGCAGGTCATCCAGGGTCTGCTGATGGGCCTCTTGGAGGGCTTTCTTCTCTTTTGTCAGCTTGACGATGGTCTCGTCCAGGGCTGCCATCTCCTCTGTGAGGTTTTTCACCTTTAGGAAGAAGGGAGCAAGTGTAAATCAAGGAAATAGATACAGAAGTCCTGGAACAGCACGGGGCTTTTTTCTGGAGTGTGGGTGAGATTTTCTGCCTCGTACCTTGTTTTCAGTGGCGTGCTTTTCCTTCTCCACCTTGGCCAGTGTTAGCTCAAGGTCATCGATATCTTTCTTCAGCTCTGAACATTCATCCTCCAGTTTTCTCTTCTTGGCTGTCAGCTCAGCATTGATTTCCTCCTCATCCTCAGCCCTTTCAGTCACTTCCTTAACTTTGGCTTCCAACTGGATTTTGGTTTTGATGAGTTGGTCACACCTTTCCTCAGCATCAGCCAAAGCATCAGCTTCCTGGTGGGAAAATGCCATTGTTAGGGATACACTTTTTGAGGGAATATTGAGATTCTTACCTGCATAATTCAGAGTCCTGGATAGCAGTTTTGTATTTAAAAATTTGATACATGTTCCAATAAAATGACATATAATATAGAATTGATTTTATATTGTTAGTTTTGAAACAGACTGGCTTTAAATCTTAAACCAAGTAAAATCCTTTTCAATCTACCTCAAAACTTGAGTATTTATATATTTGCGCAGGGTACAGAATCCAAACTTATCCCACAGTATCAAACTCTGGAACAAAGTGCATAAATTCGGTTTTAATCATAGGAATATCTCCCATGTTTGTGAAGTTCTGAGTGATAATTATATGCCAAGATGCGTATAAATACTGAAGACACAATTATCTTGACACCATTCCTGTATTTATTTTTTTTCACCTTACTCTCTTCCTGGAGTAACTGTTTCTGATTTATATTTTCAACACCATTGGCCCCAAAATACTCAGTATCTGTCAGCCTTGTCTCTTCTCTGTGCTACTGTCATCAGCTAAGAAGAAAAAGACCTGCTGGAAAATTTGCCTCCAGGCTTCTTTTCTGCAACATATGTCCTGTGTTATTTGTTATATTTTGTCTCAGGTTTCAGTCCAACAGAAAAAGTATGAAAGAAAAATAGTAATATTAGCAGTGCGTGGATTCTTTCATCTTTTTACAGCTTAAGACTCTTTAAAAAGTGTGGCTTTTTCTATATGTCACGTATGCTGCATAGTATCACTTAGAGGAGTCAGTCTTTTCTATTCTGTGACTGATTTAATTTAGAAAGCACAGCACTGTAACACCGCAGATGTAGCATGTGATTTTGTGTAGTGATTCCCAGTGATGTAGGACGGTGAGTGAGAATATTAAATTCTCTTTCCTCTTAGTTAGTTCATTATTATACCATAGTAAAGTCTGTTACTATCCTGACTATTCAAACCACCACCTAAACTATAAAGAAACAAGTTATCTTGTTCTAGTGGAGAATAAGGAGAGGAAAGTAATGTCTTCTTAAGTTGTCCTGAGAATTCTTAATTATGAGTGTGTAAGGAGAGGCACATTTAGTTTTGGAGACATAGGAAAAAGTACTAGCAAAAGAAACATTTTACAAAGAAAAGTTTCTTGATTGTTCTGATATAAGCAGAAGGGCAGTGAAGGCAGTGGAGGATCAAAAAACAAGTCCTATAAGGAGTGGCTGAGCAAGCTGGGTTTGTTTAGTCTGGAGAAGAGGAGGCTCAGGGGGAACTTCATTGCTCTCTACAACTGCCTGAAAGGAGGGAGTAGTGAGGTGAGGGTTGGTCTCTTCTGCCATGTCTCAAGTGAAATAACGAGAGAAAACAGCCTTAAGTTGTGCCAGAGGAGGTTCAGATTTGATATCAGAAAAAAAATTTTCACTGAAACAGTGGTCAGGCATTGGAATAAGCTGCCCAGGGAGGTGGTAGAGTCATCATCTCTGGAAGTGTTCAACAGGAGTCTGGATGTGGCACTTGGGAATACGGTTTAGGAGGGATTATGGTGGTGCTGGGCTGATGGTTGGAGCAGATGATCTTGAAGGTCTCTTCCAGCTGTGATTAGTCTGCGACTCTGAGAAATGCTAAGAGAGCTCAGCATACACCATAGAAAGTCTCATCCAGGTAATATGCTGGCAGTCCTTATTAAAGCTTGTAAGAGCACCACTTAAAGAATCAAAATTGAACAGAGCTAAATTGTAGTTTCTATGTGTCTTTTGAAAGTGTAATTGTAAATATCAACTTGATAGTCACAGCAGAGTTGGGATAAAACACGCTGGCGATACTCACAGCCTGCACTTGGAGCTGCAGATCATTTTTCTCCTGCACCAGTTTCACCATTTTTTCCTCCAGCTCCTTCCGCTTTGCCTCAGACTTCGCAAGTTCTTCCTTAGTTTTCTCAAACTCTTGTTTCATGTTGGCCATCTCCTTCTCAGACTCTGCACTCTTCAGCAAGGGCTTGATCTTGAAGAACAGCTTCATCCAGGGCCAGTGTTTGACATTCATGAATGCACGAATGTTGTACTGGATGCAGAAGATGGACTCTCTGAAAGGTAAGTCAAATTATTATTCAATATTTATACTGTGATGACACAATAAGCCAAGTAGGGTGAACCTGATTTGAAGAGAAGCCTACCTTCTCTCCACCATTCTCTGGTACTCCACCCTCATCAGGTAACCCCTGCATCTGGCCTGTGTGCGGGTGATGAGCTGTGCCAGCTTTTCATCCCTCATCTCCTCCAGAAGGCCTACAAGCCCAGCTTTGAAGAACACCTTAGGTAAGAACATGAAAATAGGTGCAGTGTATGTGCTTGTTCAGGGTAACCTGGTGCCCTTCCCCCCATGACAGACACTATGGGAAGTTAAGAGAAAGAGCAAAACCACAAAGAATACATGTAGTGCCCGACTCTTTTGTAACTCCAAGCTTCTGGTTATCTGCAGCTGAGGAACTATAATAGCCAGATATTTTGCTTTTATTTGTATTAACCCTTGATTCTTTCATTCTGCAAGTTTGTCTTGAATTAGGAACACTTATTTAACCCTTAATTAAACCATCCTATGGCAATGAATTTCAGTTTATTCAAATGTTGAGTAAAAAACTACTTGATTGATTTCTTTTACATACACCATTGGATCATTTCACATACTATCTGGAGTAACTGAGTGTCAGTCTCAAGCCATGCAAACCAAAAACCCATGGTACTTGAAGCAAGTAGATCTTATACCTTAGTGTGACCAAATTTGTATTGAGTGTGGTCTATATCAATTGATCCAAGAAGTTTCTCACAAGCCTTCTTGCTGTCAATGAACTGTCCCTCTGGGATAGCACTGGCATTTAATACTTTGTATCTGAGGAAGAAAATAGAAGGATTTGCTTTGGACTCAATGATCTTAAGGGTCTTTTCCAACCTAAATGATTCTATAATTCTATGAATATGAAGAGGTCTGTTGTTGAGACCACCTGGCTGCTACGTGGAAAGAAAGAGTCTAAGAACAGTTGAGAATATAACAGCACTTATTATACTGAAACTATAGGGAAGGCTTTAGGCACAGGAGGGAAAAATTAAATTTCACAAGCTACTCAAGATGGGCAAAGTGATCCAGTAAGGGGATGAAGTCTGACCTCTGTTTAAAATCTGCATACAGGACTCTGTTGGGAAATCCTTTCCTGCAAATTCTGATCCCTTCCAACACGCCGTTACAGCGCAGCTGGTGCAGCACCAGCTCATGCTCCATGGCACCTGAGCAATGCAGAGCACAAATACACACCATGTTCTGTAACACACAGAGCAAGAGCTGCACCATACTGAGAATATTCAATCAATACACATGTAAACCTCTTACCAGGTGTTTTCGTTTCATTTGGGATGATGCAGCGCACAAAATGGGGGTGGGTGCTCCTCAGGTTGGTCATCAGCTTGTTTAAATTCTCCTGGGAGAGTCATTAAGAAAAGTTGATATTAGCAAACATAATTTCTTCTGTAAGCATCAAGCCCTCTGAAATGAGATGTACACAAGTGAGCAGAACCCTGAACTGAAGCCCTCTGCATCAGGTTTTCTGACTTTCCACAGATCTTTGCTGTTATTAACTTAATGTATGAAGTTATTCTGAGTAATCTGTAGAAAATATTGTACTCTTAAACATAGAATTGTAATACATTTCACTGACTCTAGTGGAATGCCTTTATCAGAAATTATATCCACAGGATGTACTCAGAGAGATAAAGTAGTATTCCTATGAGGCAATGAGTGGGAAGCATTCTGCAGGAGGCATCAAAGCTGGGTCATATGGAGCACACTAAATAAAACCTTCTTTTTTTCCCTACTAAAAGCTGAAGGAAAAAAACCAGTTTTATATGTCTAGAATATACATTTATCTTGTATGGCAAAGTGAGATGAATCCCATCCGTTGTTTTGTAATTGATATTTGTATAGTTATTTATAAAAAATTATTGTCTATAATTAGGGGAGGGAAGCAGGTGCTTCTAGAGGACACCACAAAGCATGTAAATAAAACAGAGAAAACATTAGGATGCATAAAAATTAACATATCTAAACAAGAGGGATAGTGGAACAAAATTTAAAAACATAACAGAAATGCAACCCAAATGCACCAAACAATAGTTCTCTTACAACATTACCTCCTAAAGTCTTATGACCTTTAGACATAGACTTTTTGCATTATTTTTAAATGATACAGGCAGTACAGCTATGATAATTGCCCCAGAGGGTGGTTGGACATCGAACAGCCTCCCCAGGGCAGTGATCATGGCCCCAAGACTGCCAGAGCTCAAGGAGTGTTTGGACAATGCTCTCAGGGACAAGATGGAATAGTTTGGGTGTCCTGGGCAGGGCCAGGACTGGATGATCCCGATGGGTCCTCTCCAGTTCAGCATATTCTACAATTCTATGATTATTTTTTGGGGGGCATATGCACATGCCCATGTCCTGTTTCAGAGCACTGCCTAGAGGCTGTCAGGTGATGAATCATATGACAGCAGACCTGTAGAAAAAATTAAGCAATATTAAGAAGGGAGGCATACATGAAGGATGAAAAAGGTAATACCTCAGGAGACAGGAGGTATTTCACCTGGAGGAGATGTATGGAGCAGTCAGGAAGCAAGACTTGGTTATGACAAAGGACTGTGAAGTATCGACATCTTAAAAATCCATAACTCAAGGAGTGATAGTATTTCAAGTATAAGAAATTGATCCTTGAGTCAGACAGAAAAATTAGACATATAAATGGAGTAAACAGGTCAAAAGTGGCCAGAATGTTGTAAAAGGGCAATAACACCTTCTGAAACCAGAGGCGGGCATCTGGAGGAAATCTGGTCTATTTTAAGTATATTTTAGACATTTTTTTCTATGACATTCTTCCATCTAGAAATATCATCCTCGGACAAGTGGGCAAATAGAAAAGCTGTGCATTCAGTGGAATGGAGTATGAGTAGATTACACTGGATTTATTCCTAGTAAAATGTGGCCCAAGAACTTCAGGATCTTTTAAAAGAACTAAAACAAAAAAAGACAAACCATAGTGATTGGTGAGTTTACTCCTTATCTTAGGAAGAAAGAGTGAAGTCTCTACTCTACCCGGAAAAGAGCCGAGACAGTCTGGAAAGAAGAACCCTTCTTCTTGGCACCTTTCTTGCCTGCACCGCTGGCCTCAGCTAAATTAAAAATAAATAAAACAGATTTTAGATTTTTGCTTTTGCCTTTTATTATTCCTTTTTGTAAGCTGTACATCAGTGAAAATATGGGATTCATAGAACCAACCTGATTCTGCTCCACCATAGTTGGCAAAGAGTAAGGCCAGGGTCTTGACAGATGATTTCTGGTACAGCCCAATGACAGTTTCATTCAGGGGGTCCTTGTTCTTCTCCAGCCACCCAGTGATGTTGTAGTCCACTGTGCCAGCGTAGTGCACCAGGGAGAAGTGGGCCTCAACCTTGCCTTTGGTAGGTTTGGGCTTCTGGAAGTTGCTGGACTTGCCCAGGTGCTGGTCATAGAGCTTGTTCTTGAAAGAGGTGTCAGTTGCCTTGGGGAACATGCACTCCTCTTCCAGGATGGAGAAGATGCCCATTGGCTGGGAGAAATCACAAGGGTGACAGATTGTAATTTAGCTTTCAGGGCAATAATGACCTTCATGTAGACACAGTAATGGAACACAGATTGAGATACACATCAGAAAATATTAATATTTAATTACATTTTCTTCTAGAAGGTGGGATTGAATACATTGATACCTATATTTTTAATACAAAATTAACTATAAAGAATAATAGAAATTAATTTAGTTTGTGTGGAGAATGTGCTTTATAATATCAGAGCACTACCTTCTTATGTGGTGGGACTGAGAGCAAAAACAGATGTATTAGACACATTGAACATGAGCCGAAAATACACCATTGCAGCAAAGGCAGACAACTCATCCTCAGCTGCATTCTGTTGCTAATGGGAGTCCATCCTTCCTCTCTAATCAGCTCTGATGAGAAACATCTGGAGTGCTGTTCTAGCTCTTGGCTACTCCCACGGACATAGTAGAGTGAGCCCAGTGAGAGGCCACAGATATATTTAATGATCGGAATACCTGACATGCAAAAATAAGCTGACAGAACTGTCCTGCATGGAATGAGAAGGGTCTGGGAGATCTTATCAATCTATATAAATACCTAATGGGAGGGAGAGAAGAGAGAGCTCAGTGATGTCCTGTGATAGGACAAGAAGAAAGAGGCATGATCCACCAAATTCCATTTAATGAGAAGAAAAACCTTCTTTACTGTGAAGATGGTCCAGAGTTAGAACAAGTTCCCTGTGGCATCTGCACCCTTGGAGATATTAAAAATCCAAGTGGACATGGTCCTGAGTAAACTGCTCTAGCTGACCCTGCCTTGAACAAGCGGCTTGGGTTAAGTGATGCCCAGAGCTGATTCTGTGATTCCAACTACTCATCATTTGCCAGCTACTGAACTTGCCATCTCATGTGCAGTACAACTGCCTTCACACTGTTAGTCAAAGGAGGTACCTGCAAGTGTGACTGTGTACTGACAGTTATTTATGTGTGTCCATCCTCTGCGTCCATTTTGAAAAGATGCAGCTGTTCTGCTGTACAAGCACTCTTGTCAGAGCTGAAAGGTGAGGAGGGTACACTGACCTGGAAATTGGCTCTAGCTGGTTTGGAAGAACACACTTTTGGGGAGTTAATCAAACTTTTTGTGCTTGGAAAGAGATCAGTCACACATCTGCCACGATTTCCTTCATTTCTCACTTAACAGAAAAAGTAAACTATGGGGCAAGGTATTTTGAATAAGAAATACAGAATACTTGCACAGGAACATGGAAGATCCCTTTGAACAATGAGACCACAGAGTTTTTCTGCATGTAACTCATTTGAACAGGTAGGATACCTTTTCAATGAGCTCAATGCAGGCAGCCAGGTCCATCCCAAAGTCAATGAATGTCCATTCAATTCCCTCCTTCTTGTACTCCTCCTGCTCCAGCACGAACATGTGGTGGTTGAAGAACTGCTGCAGTTTCTCATTGGTGAAGTTGATGCACAGCTGCTCAAAGCTGTTGAACTGGAAATAAAATAAGAAGGATACATATTGAAAGATGCAGCAATAATTGCAAAACTTCCTTTAAATCTAAGGAATGGAGTTATCTTGGCTTCATTGTGTGCATTTCTTCAGTCTGCTTTTTGACTACATAATGAAAAAGAGAAAGGCATCAAATTAATTGTCCACAAGGAATTTTTTTTCATTAATAATATACCAAGTAAGTTACAGGAAGAAGAAACACAAGCTTAGGACTATCGTGGTGTACATATTTTTATATTATCTTGTCCCTGACTATATAACCAAGGAATTTTTCTGATTGGACCTTTCTGTACTTTTGAGTTTTCACATCTTGAAATAAGACAAGTCTTTTGAAAAGTCATTTTTTAATTCATAACAAAAAAGAAAAATAACACTAATCATCTGATAATATTATGTCTTCTTTAAAATGTGTCTCAAGTTGATCATAACATTCAGCTGTCACTTCCAAGTAGCTCTTACTGAATCTTACTTACATCAAAGATCTCAAAGCCAGCAATGTCCAGCACACCAATGAAGTACTGCCTGGGCTGCTTCGTGTCCAGCTGTTGGTTGATGCGAACAACCATCCACAGGAACATCTTCTCATAGACAGCCTTTGCCAGGGCACCCACTGAATTATGCACCTATAGGAAAAAATAAATGCCTGGCATTACCATACAGGGCAGAGGAAAATCAACATGATATTAATTCTAAACATGGTTAGAGGCTACAACATGTTTCTTACCTGCTGTGCTGTTTGACCCTTAGTCACATATTCATTCCCCACCTTGACTCGGGGGTAGCAGAGGGCCTTGAGCATGTCAGCTGAGTTCAGGCCCATCAGGTAGGCAGCCTTGTCAGCAACTGAAAAGGCAAAGGAAAAAGGAAGAATTTAACATCCAGTAAATTTTGAATCCTGGAGCAGCCTTCCCAGGATTCAGCCTAAAGGCTACATGGTTCAGATTTCTGTTCTTTGAAAACTTTTGATAGGCTCTCCAAAAGGGAATCTTGACAACTTCACACTTGTCATTATGCATATTGAGCTTTTCTAAAACAATTTATGTTTTAAAATCTTCCCTGGAACATGTAGAAAGTGATGATGTTTCCAAAAGTCTCCTGGCACTGAATTGAAAAATTAAGCTTGTTAGTCTGAAAGCTCGTAGTGCACGTGGAGCTGCAGTGACAACAACCAGGTACTGATCTGCATTCAGGTGATCTAGACCACACAATATTTAGTATGGAACACAGAGACAATATCTCTGTTCTCTTTCAGATCCAGAACCCTTTCTGAGCTTTTGTTTCTGATGTTCAGTAAAACTAATTGGGCTTCATCCTGTTACCTATGGTGCTCCCCACCTCCTGCCTTGTCCTTTAGCAAGAGGAGGTGTTGCTCACAGAATTGGAGACAGAGGTTGTAGGTCCCACGAAGGAGAGGAATCAAATACACCTTTACCGCTGCCTTCCCCTCGTGTTGGATGGGGGAAGACAAATGGGAACGTAGTCCCTCTCATGTTAGAACTGAATCACTGGGTTGTTTCACAGTTGCAAGCCATATTCCAACAAAGGCATGACTAAAGGAACATCCATCACTCCTGACTTCCTGGACGTTTATACTGCTAACTGTTCATAGCATAAGATACATAAATCCTGAAATAAGGGAACTTGGTGTACTAAGGACAAGGGACAGGGTTTTTTCCTGGCTGACTAATTTTCTTGGGATCCTAAAGTCCAAAAATTAACAACTTTTGCTGTCTTCCACAGTGGCTTACAGAAGGGTTAATTATTGAGCTCAATAGTACCTTCTGTGCCTTCAGGCTCTGCCTGTTCCTCTCTTGGTTTCTGCTTGAACTTCAGGTTCCCATAATGCATGACAGCCCCTGTCAGCTTGTAGATGGCTGTTCTCTCATCAGCAGTGAAACCCAGGATGTCAATGGCACTCTGATAATACAATCAGCAAAGTGAAATATTTGTGTGTTATGTGATGTATGACCTATGCCTGTTGACTTGTTTTGTACGTTACTCACATCTGTTGCCATCAACTCCTCCTTGTCATCAATGCTGGGAACACTAATCTCACCTTGACTCACAAAAGGGAAATCATAAGGGTTGGTGGTGATGAGGAGCATTTCTGAAAACAAATGTGTACGTGGGTTAAATTTAATACTTTTTGTAAGGTAGTTGAATCTTACTCAGAGATCTTCCTTCAAAAAGCTCCGTGACGTCTCCTACCAATTAGCTCTGGCTTCTTGTTGGACATGATCTGATAAAAGATGTGGTAGCTTCTTTCCGCCTTGAGCTGGAAAGTGACTCTGGACTTCTCCAGCAGATCTGCCCAGGAAGGTAGAAAGAGTTAGGCACAGCAATGCACATGGAGGTGGGAATTTGGGAAGGGATGGGACCAGTCCAAGAGAGTCTCTTACAAGTTTCAATATCAGCAGAAGCCAGTTTGCCTGTGGCCCCAAAGTGGATTCTGATGAATTTGCCCTGTTAAGGAGAAGCAGCAGCATTTGAATCTGGATGGATTTCTCTGACATCTCCTTTACATGGAGACCTGCTCAGGCATCACTTGTCCTGCCATGAGAGGGAGAGATTTTGTCCAAGTCACCAACTCACAAAGCGCGAGGAGTTGTCGTTCCTCACGGTCTTGGCGTTTCCAAAGGCCTCCAGCAGTGGGTTGGCGCTGATGATTTGATCCTCAAGCGTCCCCTGCAGGGGGAAAATTATTCACCAACTGTGTTGAGTCAACAGGGCAATGACAGCCCAAGTGTCCAGTCTGTTCTTCCTGACTCACCTGCATTTTGCCTGATGTCTGCTCCTCCTTTTTCTTCTCCCCGCTGGCTGCAATTGTTGCAAAGTACTGGATGACACGCTTTGTGTTCACAGTCTTCCCGGCACCGGATTCTCCGCTGTCAGAGCAAGGAGAGAAGCAGAGAGCGTGTGGTCAGGCAGGAGGGGCCCTGGCCCTGGGCAGCCCCTCAGGGACCCGAGCAGGGGGTGTACGTACGTGATCAGGATGGACTGGTTCTCCCGATCTGGGGAAGAGGCAAAATGAGAGCTGTGTTAGCAACTGACCTGGGTAACCCTAAGCTGAGTAGAAGTAGAGGTGTAAATAGAAGCTGGGGATTCTTCAGAA